CTGAAACTTTCCATGCAAAAAAAGTACCGCTTTAAGCACAGAAATATGGACATAATCATACCGCTAGGGAGGTTAACATGACTTACACTCTACAATCACTTCACCTTTCTCCACCTACAATGAGCAAGGGACACTTTCAAACTTACAAAACAACACTTTTGTTGTTACTATTGTGATTCGGAGATTCGTATACATCTGAATCTCCAAAAAATGAACTTAGTCTGAATTCCGATTCGTAACAAAACAAATTGCACATGTATACTCTCTGTCTTGGCAAGAAAGGTCACCAGGACAAATATATCTCCTAGATTGTAAGCTCCAAGGAGCAGGGCCCTCAAATCCCTCTTGTATTGAACTGTATTGTTGCTGCATTGTCTCCCGTTATATTGTAAAGCGCTGAGCAAACTGTTGGTGCTATATAAATCATCTATAATAATAATAATAATAATAATAATATGGGCGAACCTCCCCAGCAGGAACACAAACAGCCAGAAAAACAAGACACAAACAAAAAAGCATCTTACAAAAGGTATAACCCTTCTTGAATTTATCCAGAATGAGAAAGTTTAATTTACATGCACTTAACAGTAATATAGGACATAGGGCATAAAAAAACTGAGATTCTCTGTTTTTGATTTTCTGCCCTGATAATGTAATGTGATTGGATCATTGGCTTTTGGAGTCTAGAAGTGTTGAGTGTCAGAGCAGGGTCATGGTGACATTAACTCGAATTACACTCTACAATCACTTAACTTTCCTCCAACTAAAATGAGCAAAGGACACTTTCATCTTACAAAACACTTTAATCGTTACTATTGTGATTCGGAGATTCGTATACATCTGAGTCTCCCAAAAAATGAATTTTGTCTGAATTCCAATTCGTAATGAAACAAATTGCACATGTATATTTTCTCTCTTGCCAAGAAAGGTCACCAGGACAAATATATATGGGAAGAACCTCCCCAGCAGGAAAACAAACAGCCAGAAAAACAAGACACAAACAAAAAAGCATCTTACAAAAGATACTGTATAACCCTTCTTAAATTTATCCAGAATGAGAAAGTTTAATTTACATGCTTTTAACAGTAAAATAGGACACTTTTAGGAAACTGAGATTCTCTGTTTGAATTTATTCAGAATGAGAAAGTTTAATTTACATGCACTTAACAGTAATATAGGACAAAGGGCAGAAAAAAACTGAGATTCTCTGTTTGAATTTATCCAGAATGAGAAAGTTTAATTTACATGCACTTGAGAGTAATATAGGACAAAGGGCAGAAAAAAACTGAGATTCTCTGTTTTTGAGTCTCTGCCCTGATAATATAATGTAATGGGATCATTGGCTTTTGGAATCTAGAAGTGTTGAGTGTCAGAGCAGGGTCATGGTGACATTAACTCGAATTACACTCTACAATCACTTCACTTTCCTCCAACTAAAATGAGCAAGGGACACTTTCATCTTACAAAACAACACTTTAATCGTTACTATTGTGATTCGGAGATTCGTATACATCTGAATCTCCAAAAAATGAATTTTGTCTGAATTCCAATTTGTAGCAAAACAAATCGCACATATATTCTCTCTGTCTTGGCAAGAAAGGTCACCAGGACAAATATATGGGCGAACCTCCCCAGCAGAAAAACAAACAGCCAGAAAAACAAGACACAAACAAAAAATCATCTTACAAAAGATATAACCCTTCTTAAATGTATCCAGAATGAGAAAGTTTAATTTACATGCTTTTAACAGTAAAATAGGACACTTTTAGGAAACTGAGATTCTCTGTTTGAATTTATCCAGCATGAGAAAGTTGAATTTACATGCACTTGACAGTAATATAGGACAAAGGGCAGAAAAAAACTGAGATTCTCTGTTTGAATTTATCCAGAATGAGAAAGTTTAATTTACATGCACTTGAGAGTAATATAGGACAAAGGGCTGAAAAAAACTGAGATTCTCTGTTTTTGAGTCTCTGCCCTGATAATATAATGTAATGGGATCACTGGCTTTTGGAATCTAGAAGTGTTGAGTGTCAGAGCAGGGTCATGGTGACATTAACTCGAATTACACTCTACAATCACTTCACTTTCCTCCAACTACAATGAGCAAGGGACACTTTCAACTTACAAAACAACACTTTCTTATACTTTCAACAATATACTATAATTACCTACATAGGGACGACTTTATAGAAAGCACTTAATTCAGCGTAGTATCCTTGTTTTACTTTGCTTTAACTGCAATCCATTAATAAGCTAGGCTCTTTTCATTTACTCTTGGCTCACAGAAAGGTTGCACAGTTAAATCCTAGAGAGCAGCGTGGATCTATTCATTAGTGCACGCTGCGATAGCTCTATTCCCTGTGAAGGGCCTCTAAGCTGAGTGTTATGAGCCTGAAGGATTGAGGCGGGCACCAGGTCTGGCTTGCCTAGGTCATCATTTTCTGAAAAATAGTCAGCCTGTTGATGGAAGCAGTTCAGTAAACTATAGTTACTGGCCTAGGGCAGAGGAAATGAAGGTCAGACTGAAGCGATTGTGTCTGAGTGGTGGGCTGATGATTATTACTTGTGACCGTGCTGGAAGCCTACAAAATACAAAACCCATACCATTCAGCAGTAGTAATGTGATCTTCTACATATGCATTTATTCTTAACTTGTTCTGATAAATTGTTACTACTGACAACTAAATACCTGCTAGTGGCAAATCGTTCTAAATGCCTGCTTCCTGCCATATGTAACCACAATTTGATTCCGGTTCAATGCACTCCAGAATAGATGGATCCATTAGACCAGATTCACACCTCTCTGTTTTTAAGCAGATGTATTTTACATTAAAATCATGAAAACTTCATGCTTGTGTTTAAAACAGTAGTGTGATGCACATTGCATTGTACAGCATGCATTTGTATTGATTTCAATGGAAACAAACATGCATTAAAACATGTAGGTGTGAATCCTGCGTAATATTAAAGTGTTACTAAACCCAAGACCCTGCATTCACTATATCTGATCTCCCACAGTACACAGAACATGGAAATACAATTATTTTAGTAAATATAAACTGCTGAATAATAAATGTGATTCTTGTGAGCTACTATGGTGTATTAATATTTAGTGAGAAATTTACCAAATATGTTATTATATCATGTGTGTTTTATGTTTGCTGTATAAAATTAATTACGTGAGTAAAATAAATTAAATATAAATAATTAAGTGAATAAATAAATTAATTAAATTAAATGAGCGAGTCGCTTACACTATACACATGCTCATACCAATGTGTCTAATTAAATCATAAAACCCCTTTGTGTCGCGCTCCACTATTAGTATAATATATGAACATAAATCAATTAGTACAAAACAATAGACTGAGTCCTAGTATATTTCCACGATGTGATATTACAATCACGCTAGTGCTGCATGCATGTCTTCACACAAAAAAAATCCTCAAAAGGAATCCTCAAACAATCCATGATCCTATTGTGTCTTCTATGGTATATTGCCAAAATAAAATATGGTCCACCAAATATTATATATATATATATATATATATATATATATATATATATACTGTGCTCCTGCACCAGTTGTGCTCTCACCTGATGTACATGACCAAACCGTTAAGTGAGGTCATACAAGCTTGTGTCCCTTTAATTGGGCTCAGAAATGGACAAATGGATAAATCCCTGTATCCCAGATGGATGAATGGAGTTTTTACTTTTTTCCAGCAGGGGGTCTCGCCGTTATCAAGAGATCCTTTTCCTGGAGGTGGATGGATGGATTAAGTTATCCCTCTTCCCACTAGGGGGCCTCTTGACTCCTTTCAGACTTTTTCTTCCATGTATATATGTTCCATGTAATTGAAAAGAAAATATAGTGCCTTATCCTCTTTTTAAAAAGATTTATTAAAATAAATATAGTGCACTCACATAGTAAACAGATAATAAACGCCTTTGGTACAATTTTGCTTAATCTATAGTAAGTGTGCCACACTCCCATATACTTGCCGTGTGGTTTGCCTTTAAGCGTCGTGACATCAGAGCCCCACCCCTACGCGTTATGCCACCGGGTCATGTGGCTTCCTCAGGGGGAATAAACTGCTAAATACTTTTTCTCACCAGCAGCCAGGGCCGTGGATAAGGAGGTACCATCAGTCCTCCTGTATGGGGCCCAGATCAGTAGAGGGGCCCAGGCATCTAGGCGAATCGGATGTGGGCAGGGATGGGGGGGGAATTATTGGAACCTATCCCCTGTATGGCTTTCTCTGCAGCAGCTGAAAGCCAGCTTCTTCTCCTCTCCATACCAATGGTTTACAGATGCTGCAGAGAGAGCTATACAGGGGATTAGATCCAGAAATAACCCCCCCCCCCCCCGCGCACCCATCACCCTCCATGTGCACCATATGTTTCTCCCTGCTACTGAGGCCCCCCTGTGTGCCCCATCCCCACAGGGGCTGCTGTCTTCCCTCCTCTCCTTCCCACAAGCACACACTGCAAATACCTTTTCTCATCAGCAGTATATAGCAGTCTTTTATCAGTGTCCAGCAGAACACTGGTTAAAGCTTGTAGGAGGAGTTTTCATACTTCCCTGACTGTCCTATGAGGCTGCATGACCCCTGACCCTCTATATGGACAGCGCTGATTGGCTCTGTGATGATCACATGCACCCTCTCAAGAAAAAAAAAAAAAAAACCTGTCTAGCAATACACACCAAACTGAGCAATACACACCAAACTGAGCATGTGTAGCTTGTTACATGTGAATAAAAAGTGCCAAGAAAAGAGCCTGGTCCTTAAGTAGTAAGATTAAAGTGTTACTAAACCCAGGACCCTGCATTCACTATATCTGATCTCCCACAGTACACACAACATGGAAATGCAATTATTTTAGTAAATATAAAATTCTAAATACCTTTTATCATCAGCAGTATAGAGCAGTCTTGTGACTTCTATCAGTGTCCAGCAGAGCCCTGGTTAAAGCTTGTAGGAGGAATTTTCTTTCTGTTCTAAGAGGATGCAAAACCCTTGACCTCTGTCTGGACAGTGCTGACTGGCCCTTTGCTGATCGCATGCACTCTCCCAAGCAAAAAAAAACTTCTCTAGCAATGCACACCAAACTGAGCATGTGCAGAATGGCTATGGGTTCAGTCTGTCTTATGAGTAGATAAGAAGTGGACATTTGAACAAGAGGAGGATCAGAGAAGACAAGATCAAACTGCCTTTTTACGCAATGCAGAGAAATAATCCCTTAGGTTCCACAGTGAGTATAACAAGCATGCTTTACTGCATATACAGACTGATTTTACTGTTGTGGGTTTAGCACTTTAACAGATGAAAAGAAAAAGAAAAAAAAATGAAATAAAAGAATTAAAGCAACAACCACATATAAGTACTGGTTGGCTGCAATATATGACATTTTTTATCTTAGGTTTGCATGTGCTTTAAAATGATTCTCTGCTTTAAGGTAAAAAAACCTTCTGTATCCAGGACACCTCCAGCCCCTCCCTCCTCATACCTCCCTGAACCCGATCTCGATCCAGCACTGTGCCTGAGAACAGCAGCTCTTTTGACTCTCTCCCTCCTTGCAGTGCAGATTGATAGCAGTGGGAGCCATTGGCTCCTGCTGCTGTCAATCAATTCCTATGATGAGGGAGTGGGGGGGGGGGGGGCAGAGCAAAGCCCACTGTCTGTGTCTGTAGATGCAGTCAGCTGGGCTTGGGAGCAAACCTGCATGAGTACCCCCAGAACAAGCGGCTTGCTGGGAAGGGGGGTACTCGGAAGGCAGAAGGAGCTAGGATTGCCAGCTGGGGAACCCAGAAGAGGAGGATTAGAGCTGCTCTGTGCAAAACCATTGTACAGAGCCGGTAAGTATAACATGTTTGCTATTTAAAAAAAATATAAAGACTAAGAATCTCTTTAATGCAATAACCCAAAGGAACCAATCAACAAAGAATGACCAACAAATCAACTTTCTTATGACAGGTAGAATCTGACTGTCATAGGTAACAACCTACACTATAGCATTGGTCTTGGACCTGCCTTTTCATATTCAGGGTTACGGGCTCAAAGATTGTAGTCAGCAGCAGTCACGGTCTTTACCACTTTTATGTTTTCGTTAATATTTTTCTAAGGAATGGCCATTGCTGAAGGCAATGTTTATTTCTTGCTATTTAATACTTATTATAAGAATTTAATTATGTGTTGTTATACTAATGATATACTTAAAATAACACAAATATGCTTCCCTTCTATTACATTTCCTTTCTATGGTAAAAAAAGGAACAAATGTTACAAGCATTTAAATTCCATCTGAGATTCAGCATATTACTGATGACTGCGGCTCACTGAATGGATATAAACCAAAGCAATTGTTTCATGTAGTCTAAAAATACCAAGACATTTCTTCCTGAAGCACCATGGCCTATTTCCATCGACATAAAGGCTAATTTTCTGCTGAAGCGTTACAAGCTGTATTGAAAATGTAATAATAACCTAATTATGTACCATTGATAATAATAATCCTCTTTTCTTAATGATTATTGGTGTATAAATCTGCTTTACAGCACAGTCTGTTTGAAGACAAGTAAAATATACTTTTGACTTAATTGCAGATGGAAAAAGTTAGATAAGGAAGGAAAAAGAGACAATTCCACCTAAAGAAACACTAAGAAAAGGTGAATAAAAGAAAAATGATGCTACTTTATAAGACTTTTACAGCAGATTATGAAATCCATTGTAGCCATTTCACAGACATTTGTTGTTACCTGTTGCATTATTATTATTATTATACAGGATTTATATAGCGCCAACAGTTTGCTCAGCGCTTTACAATATAACAGGAGACAATACAGCAACAATACAGTTCAATACAAGAGAGTTAGGAGGGTCCTGTCCTTGGAACTTACAATCATAGTTGTGAAGCAGATGGTTTTGCTTTGCAAAACTGACATATCAGCTGTTAAAGTATATATAAACCTTCACCTTTTAAAACAAATCAGTTTAAAAAAAAGATATGAAATGCAAAACATTTATGTATAGATATAAAACACATTATAAATACCTTTTTCTCCTTTTTATAAGTGATCACATTCCCTCTGTTCTCAGCTGAACAGAGAGGTGCGGTGGGAGAAATAGCAGTACACTAATGATCCCAATGAATGGCTGTGCAAGGGGGGGGGGCATGTGAGCACAAGTTTGATTATCGGAGGAGAGCAGGCTGAGTTCTCAGCACAGCTAGGTAACTGACCACGCTGTGCTCTCATGCCTAGTGTAGTCAGTTTTGATAGGAACGCAGAGGGACTGGCAGGAACACCAGGAATTTCACATAAAGCACACAGTACAAAGAGAACAGAATACTTTTTCATACAAGCACTGTAGACACATATCAGCAATATGAAATGTTGGGTTTACATATTCTTTAAGGCGGTAGTAATCTCTTTAAAAAAAGGAAAACTTTTTTTATTGCAAGGCAATATCATAACGTGTTAGTATGCACCACCGCTTGAATGGTCGAGCCGCAATGATGTCACTCCCGCGCATGCGCGTAGGAGTCTCGGCTGTAGCACACAGCTCTGAAGGAGCAGCACGGGTATGCCGCACCTTCAGAGCTCATGCGCCAGTGATGTCACTGCCTGCAGCTCATTAGAATATTTCCAATACACAATTAGGAGATATTCATTTTACCTGTAGGGAAGCCTCATTGTAAGCTGTAGGTAAAAATGAAAAGAGAGTTTATTACCACTTTAAGGGACAATTATTTACTCTCTCACACAGATTGTCTCCTGCCACAAGAGGTCACTCTGCTCCTAACAGCTTGCCAGCAATGTAGCTCAGGGGACTCTGGACCAACCCAAAATGGCCAGTACAAATTGCCTCTGTGGGATAGCTAAAGAAATTAGATACATTCACCAGCTTACTGAGTGAAGGTGTCATCAAATGGGAAATTCTCTACAGCTCAGCCTGGGAGGAAGATCGAGAAGAGAAGCATTTGAAGGGAGCAGCTGAAAGAGAGCAGGGCCAGAAGAGGAGGAGGGGAGGACAGAAGGGGCACACGCCTCTGGTACAGTGTTGCTGTGTGGAATAAGAGTGCACTATGAGCTTCAGCTGCTTCCTTCTCCCACAGACTGCAGTGTCACTCCTGTCAGCAGGGTTTTTTTGGATGGACTCAGTGGTACCACCATCTCCAACACTGGCCTTGTGCTCACCGCTGTCACTTGTTGTAAACATAGATTCTGGCTTCCTCTGTCAGCTTCTGTGTTTCAAAAAATGACAGCGTATATCTCCTGGACTCACACAGAGCATTTCCTGCCCTGCAGCATGCCAACAGAGCCTGGCATTGTGGCACCAGCTCCTCCTGCAGTGAGGACTGGATGAATAGCTGGGGGGGTTGGGGGAAGATCTTTGTACTGGGGAAGTGAGGTTATGGGAAAGCTGTGTACCGGGAAGGGGGGATGGAGGAAGAGCTTTGTAGTGGGGAAGGGAGATTGTGGTAAAGCTCTATACTGGGGGGAAAGGGAATGGAGGAAGAGCTTTGTTGTGGGGAAGGGAGGTTGGGGGAAAGCTCTGTAACGGGGGGAGGGGGTGGAGGAAGAGCTTTTTAGTGGGGAAGGGAGGTTGGGGGAATGCTCTGTACCAGGGGGGTGGAGGAGGAGCTTTGTAGTGGGGAAGGGCAGTTGGGGGAAAGCTCTGTACCGGGGGGGATGGAGGAAGAGCTTTGTAGTGGAGAAGGGAGGTTGGGGTAAAGCTCTGCACCGGGGGTGGTGGAGGAAGAGCTTTGTAGTGGGGAGCTCTGAACTGAGAGAGGTAGTGGAAGAACTTTATGGTTGGGGGTTAGAGGGAAGAGCTCTGTACTGGGATGAGAGGTTAAGGCAAGTACTGAGGGGTTGAGGGAAGAGCTCTATACTGGGAAGGTGGGGGAAAGGTAATTTTTGGTTTTCCAAATGTTTCTAATCCATTCCTGAACCCTACATCCTGGGCACCCTGTGCATTCCTGAGCAATACCCACTCCCGAGCCTAATGCCCTGTGTGATACCCACCCCTGCACACTGTGCAATACACACTCCTGAAGCCTGTGTGATATGTACTCCTGAGCCCTGCATGATATGTACTCCTGAGCCCTGTATATGCACTCCTGAACCCTGCATGATATATACTCCTAAGCCCTGCATGATATGTACTCCTGAGCCCTGCATGATATATACTCCTAAGCCCTGCATGATATGTACTCCTGAGCCCTGCATGATATATACTTCTAAGCCCTGCATGATATGTACTCCTGAGCTCTGCATGATATATACTCCTAAGCCCTGCATGATATGTACTCCTGAGCCCTGTGCAATACACACTCCTGAACCCTGTGTGATATGTAGTCCTGAGCCCTGCATGATATGTACTCCTGAATCCTGCATGATATGTACTTCTGAGCCCTGTGTAATACACACTCCTGAACCATGTGTGATATGTTTTTTTTTCTCACTAACACTGATGCAGCACCATTTTAGCTTTTTTTCTTTTAGTGACAGCACTGAATATGCAATACAGCCTAGGACACTATCTCTGGATGAAATGTACAGATAGCTGACAATATACCAGTTTTGTATTGGAGCAAATTAATGTAATTCTACATACAGTGAGGAACAGAAGTATTTGAACACCCTGTGATTTTGCAAGTTCCCCCACTTAGAAATTATGGAGGGGTCTGAAATTCACATTGTAGGTGCATTCCCACGCTCAGAGTCAGAATTTTTTAAAAAAATTCAGGAAATCACATTGTATGATTTTAAAGAATTTATTTGTCTTGCACTACTGAACATAAGTATTTGAACACCTAAGAAACAGCAAGAATTCTGGCTCTGAAAGACCTGTTACTGTGCCTTTAAAAAGTCCACCTCAACTCCAGTCATTAATCTTACTTAGTTGCACCTGTCTGAGCTCTTTAAAGATACCTGTCCACCCCACAGTCAGTCAGACGCCAACTACGATCATGGGCAAGACCAAAGAGCTGTCAAAAGACACCAGAGACAAAATTGTGGACCTCCACAAGGCTGGAAAGGGCTATGGGGCAATTGCCAAGCAGCTTGGTGAAAATAGATCAACTGTTGGAACAATTGTTAGAAAATGGAAGAGGCTAAAGACGACTGTCAGTCTCCCTCGGAATGGGGCTCCATGCAAGATCTCACCTCGTGGGGTATCACTGATGATAAGAAAGGTGAGGTTTCAAAGGTCACTGTCGGTAGAACACTAAGCCGTCATGGTTTCAAATCATGCATTGCACGGAAGGTTCCCCTGCTCAAGTCATCACATGTTCAGGCCCGTCTGAAG